CAAGAGATTATTCAAATTGTAGGTTGTTGTGGATTTTTGGGCAATTGCAGGTTGTTGTTTTTGAGGGATTTTTGGGCAATTGCAGGTTGTTGTGACGAATTTTTGGGCAATTGAGTTCAATGAATTGAGTTGGGTTCGATGTAACCTTCGAACCCAGATCTGCTGGGTTCTGTCGAACATGGAAGGAAGAAAAACAGTAACTGATGGGCAAAGATGGTGATGTGGGACTCATTTGGATGTATTTGGCGCGATTTTGACAGGTAGCATGTGACATGGATGAATGTCATCACTTTTTAAAATTTTGCTCTCCACATCATAAAAAAAAATATAAAAAATGCTACCTAAGCAGGGTTAACGGCTCAAATTAACAAAAGGACTAACGGAGTGCATTTTGTATAGTTGAGGGATCAAAAAAGTGCAAAAAATTGTTGAAGGATCAAAAATGTTCATTTCTTAAAGTTAAGGGACCAAATTAAGCATTTAACCTTGAAAAAACATATGCTGGAAAGATTTCCTCCATGTGGGATTCGACTCAAGTTGACTCCAAATTAGTTAAGACTTAATGTTATTTCTAGATGTTGAAAATTAATACCAAAAAGGCTCAATGAAGCAGCGAAAATAGACCTAGTAATTTTTTACCCAACCCGTTAACCTGTTTATTATTCACCTGTTTAAAACGGGTTAGGGTCATATATTTATGACTCATGACCTATTAATGATCCGTTAAGAGAACTTGACGGGTCACGGATCAATAACAGATTGACCCATCAAGTTAACGGGTTTGATCTGTTTACCTTTTTGAAAATATAAAATTTTTTAATTTATTATTTATTTATTTTATTTTTCAATTCCCAATCCCACCTAAACCTTTAATAATTGACTAATATTCCCTAATTAACTAATTGATTTTCTTGACTCATCATCTTTTAGAAATAAAAATAATTCCACTCCACTCATAACTCACCTCTCGACCTTTTCTATTCTTGCTTGCCCTAATACTCTCGAAGACTATAACTCTTCAAACTTCAAACTCTTCTCATAAACTTCAAACTCTTCTCATATTCTTCAACCTCCATAGTTCATATGGCCTTTGACTTTCAAGTTTCGACTCTACTTTTTCTCTTTAATTTTTAATATTATCTTAAACTTAAATCTTAATTTTATCGAGTCACCATTGCGTTCACTCAGCCCTTTCTTTTTCTCTCCTATGAGTCTAGCAAGTGCTCTTTTTGTTACCAACTTTTCTCTTTAAATACTTCAAGGTAAGTTGTTTATTTATTTATGCTTTTTAGTTTTCTTTCCATTCCAAGTAAAAATTTTATTGTATTTTCTCCTTTGCTTACTTAGATGCATTCAATTGGTTATTCTTTGAAAGCAATGATCAAAACAAATATGTTCCAATGGGATTTGTGTTTTTTATTTGTCATGCTACTACTGCTCTTTTTTTTTTTTTGCTAGTGAAATTTATAAGTGCAGTGTTCTTGAATTTAATTAGCGTTGTTCTTTGAAGG